AAAGAGACTCAGCACCTGTTAGGCAACTCCCAGTTCCCTGGTGAAGAGTGGGCACATCTCCAGCCCCTGAGACATCCCTACACGGTAACGCTGCCTATTCACCAGGTTCCTGTAAAGAAGAAACGCTCCTGGAGCACTGTAGACTTGCAGTACCGAGGACGGACACTGGGGGCATGCCCTTTTCCTAACACTGAGTCCAGAGCTCTGACTTCTAAACTAGGATCTCTGCGGCCCAGGTCTTTGTACAGCGGGACCAGGCCGTTCAGAATTTGGTAGCAGTTGAGACCATGGTGGTATAGCAGGGCCTTGTTAAAAGATGATTTGTGAATGAGATATGTAACTTTACTGCAGAGGAGAGAAGACTGCCTTGTGATAGCCCCAGAGGAAGGCAAAAGGGAATCAGAAGATCTGAGCTTTGATTTCAGTTCTGAACTCTCTCTGGCTATGTGATCTGAGCCCTTAATTTGTGTGTTTGTGTGTGTGTTTGGATTTTTTTCCCCACTAATAAAAGTATAAGGTAAAACTTGCATGATTCAGGTTTCAAATTGATTTCTAGAAACTACCCACTTAGGAGTGTTTTAAAAAAGATTTCAGTTAGCCAAATAAATGAACTAATGATTGAATGAATTAAAGAAAAAAAGATTTTACTATTTCCAGATGGCCAGCAGTGATCTATGGCATTGCAATTGGAGGGAATGCCAGAGATCATTTATACCATCTTCCTGCCTTCCTCATCTCAGGCTTAGTTCCTCTATGAGACAGGGGCATCACAGATACAGAGAATACTCTGTCCTCCAAGAGAGGGAACCCCCAGAAACAGCATTTGGAACAAACCATTTTGAATAATGATTGAGAAGAGCTACCTGCAGATGTGGCCTACCACAACATATGGCTGAAAGCCACAGTGTAGAGTCCAATGTGAATTCTCAAGGACAAGTTCCCAAAGACGACTGAAGGACAGCCCTCTTAGGCTGCTATCTAATCCTACTGCAGACATTCTCCAGCACGATTACAGACCCCCGAGACCACCCCCCACCTCCAGCCCTTTCAGAGGATCTATGAGGTGAAAACTACTTTCATAATAATACTAAGACAAAATTTTCTTTTTGCCATGTGTCAACAGTAACACTGATGTGGCAAAAGCAGTTGCAAGTAAAACTGCTGGCACTCAGTGAGGGTCAAGGCAGTGGCCTTGAACTGTGTTAATCATAAATGTATTCCTTACCACCAGGGACTAGCCCTAAACAACCCCAAAAGTCAGTTTCACTAAGGAATAGCCTTGATGAAACAATACATGTTATTAATGTTATTAACTCTCTACCTCTAAGTACACGTTTTTATTATTCTGCATGACTAATTGGGAAAACACATGAAGCCTTTTTGCTGTATATTAAATAAAAGCACTTGTACAATTGCTTGAGGTGTAAGTTGGACACTTTCATTGTCATAAAACATGATTTTTACTTGAAAGAATGAATGACAAATTATGGTTATTCAGACTTGAGAATTTGGCATACATTTTCTTAAAAAATGAAATAAGCCTGTCACTTCAAGAAAAAGACCTGACAGTATTTGTTGCCAATGATAAAATCTGAGGTTTCAAGCAAAGCTTGGGATCTTGGGAAACTTGTATCCACTGCCATGAATTTGATAGCTTTCCAATACATTAACACTTATTGATGAGATTGGAAATGATCTTAACAAATATGATTTTTGATGTGGCATAAAGAAATGTTTCAGTATCTGGATTATCTGCACAGCTCAGTAAACCAATATTTTTCAAATGACCAATAGATAATGTTATAAAATCATTCATTTGTGAAAGATTCATTGAAAGTACAAGGGAAGGCAACACACTTTAATGTAACAGAGTACAAGTTCACTGATGTGGTTTCTCATTCCACATTGTAATTCTCCTTTAAGAAGCTACCATTTGCAGAGTTTGGGTGTAGCATCAAATAAGATTATCTGTAATTATCTGAAAAGGTTATTTAAATATTCTTCTCATTTCCAATTACATATCTGTGTGAGACAGGATTTTCTTCATATACTTAAGCCAAAAAAAAAAAAGGTATGCCACAACAGGTTAAATGTTAAATGCAAAGGCAACTATGAGGATCCAGGTGTCTTCCATTAAACCAGGTATTAAAGAGACTTGCAAAAATGTAAAACAATGACATCTTATTCACTAGATTTCTTTTGTTTGGACAATACAACTATTTTCATAAAATATGTCAACATGTAATAAGCTAATCATTGTTAATTCATTATATGTTACTTTTTAAAGTTAACTAATAAGTGATATTTTAAAATATCTGTTTTAATATTTGAGATGGTGAATATTGAGACACAATCCACCTAAACAAAAGCATGTTGAAGTTCTCAATAATTTTTAAGCTTGTATAAGACACCCTGAAATTAAAAAGCTTGAGAACTGCTGCTCTGAGATGCTTGCAGAGAAAGTGGAATTTGGGATGAGTAATTAGTGAACAGAGGAGAACTTGTCATGTATCAGTTTGCAATATTGCTGAAGAGTGTCATGAAGAAATTGGGCTTAACAGCTAGGGTTGGTTATGAAGACAGAATTGTCCCTGGAGGGGTAAAATGAAAGCCATCTATGACTTAAGACTGGCAGAAATCACTTCTGTGAATATTGAATTCTCAAGTTCCCAGTTAGACCCAATTATTCTCAAGGGCACCTCTCTGTGCCCTTCTAATTTGCTCCAGGGCCCTTAGTGTCCAAGTTCACCCCTTTCCCTCCAGGGAAAGTCTGGCTCCTTCCCAGCTCAGTACTGACCATCATGACTACGTGGGCTAAAATCTGCCTCCCGGGCCATGGTGCATGCCACTCGGAGTCCACCGATCAGGACCCAGGACTTGGGAAGGCCAAAGGCACTTGCAGGCACTAAGAATAAAAGATGAGCATGTTGTGGCTCTTGTTCTGGAGGGCTTCTCAGTGTGGTGGAGAAGAAAAGCTCCTGAAGAAATAATTATGGTGTGATGTGATAAATGCTTTTCTGAATATAGTGCCCACATTTTCTTCCAATCAACAATCAGGACACACTCTGACCTCTGACTATGGAACTCTCCTCAGGGATCTGGAACACATGTCTGTTTATACATGTATTAAGAAACTCCCAACAAAACTCCACAGAAATTCTGTATCAATTTGTACTTGATTTGGCCCAAAGACCCAGAGACAATGGTCTGTACCCTTTAAAAAAATTCTGGGAAATAACCAGTGTCAGAATGAAAAAGAGCAAGAAGTACAGTAGGATTACAAAAGATGAGTAATGAGCCCCTGACATTTTACTTCCTCTGGGTTAGTGGATGGGAGACACTAGAGGAAACTTTTTCCATCATACTTGTTGGGTGGTTCTTTTTCCCCTCAGGCAGAGTCCAAGACTGTTCACACAGGTCTCTCACACCAGCTGAATCAGATCAAGACTCAGAAGAATGAACTAGTATGAAACTTCTAAGATCTTAAGCCTTGATTACATGTGGGTAAAATTAAACAATAAGGCTCTTGATCTGCCAAGAAATGTTGGAGTCCCCTCTGGGTGGGCCTTTTGGGGACCGTGGAGGTTCTGGTCTGGACTGGGTCTTCTTAAGTCTTACTCATGTACACTTTGCCCCGCCTTCCTTTGAGGCTGACCTAAATCCCCCATTTTAATCCCTTTCTGCAGCGTCCCTGTTCCTCCCCAGGTCTGGCAACTCCAGAGTGAAGTGAAGAAGAACAAAACACAATGAGCAGAAAAAGCATGTTCAGTGCCACACACGGACATCCTGCCACCCACCAGAGAACGGGTGACACCGCGTGTCAAAGGCAATCCAAACCAAAGGCAGGACAAGGAGCCTGACGGAACTCTTCTGCATCTTGGATCCACTACCAGCAACCATTTATTCTGAGGGTTCTACAACCGCTGATTCAACCAACCATGGGTCATAAATATTTGGGAAAAAAATTCCAGAAAGCCTTAAAAAACAAAACTTGAATTTGCCTCCCAACAACTATTGACCCAGCATTTACAATGTATTTACAACTATTTACATTGTATCAGGTATTGTAAGTAATCTAGAGATGATTTAAAGTATATGGGAGGATCTGCATATGTCATTGTATTGAAGGCACTGAGTGTTCATGGATTTTGATATCCATGGGGTTCCTGGAACCAGCCTCTCTTGAATACCGAGGGATGATTGTACTTACACTGGACTAGCAGTAAATCATGATGTCTCTGTGCTCTCCAGTAAATTCATCCACAAAAGCAAGTTACTTTTGAAATGACACACACATGAGAATTCTCACCACATAATAAGTTCATTATTCATAGTTATAATTTTCATATCATTTGTGTGGTTAATTAATGTCTCTCTCCCCATTAAACAAGGGTTGTGTCTTGTTTTATTCACAGTTATAAATATATCTAGAGTTTAGCACAGTGTTTGACACGTTAGGCATTTGATGAGAAAATTGTTTGATCAAAGGGAGCTGGTAGGGTCCTGGTTAAGGGTCTACTCTAAAACAACAAGTTTGGGAATGCCTGACAACTCTCATTGGCTACCTGGAGCATGGTGCCATGAGGATTCTAAGGTGGTGTCTGGTATATCACCTGATGCATGCTCTGGTTGAGGAGGTTGAATATTTGTTGACCTTGGTCTATGAAGTCAAGGTTCATTTTGCCAGCTCTTCCAGCACAAATAGGCCAGTTGTGTGAATACAGTCACTTTAAGAGAACTGAGGTGATCAAATATCTGGCCTGAAGATAAGCAGCATGACCTCAGGAATATTTTTTAAAATCACAGATAAGAAAACACTTAGAACATGCAATGCAGAGAAGCTGAACGCCTACCACAATGATATCCACTTGTTTCAATGAATTCACTTATTTGGAATGTGTTTCATGAATAAGTAAGGAGCATCAGCTCGTGTACCCCACAATCAGACAGAACTTTGTAAGACCCTCTCCCCCAGCCCATAAAATAGCTGTTCTACTCACGAGGGTAATCCTTTGGGTGTGTCTTCTCAGACCAGTTCCCATAAAATGTGAGCCTGTACTTAGCAGTTCCACAGGCGCAGCAGTCTAGGATTGGTTTGTCAGTTACCCCATCAAATGTGGAATCTGAAAGAGTCAGGAAAGTCAGCAAGTTAGGAAGCAACTGTGAGTCATTTATAAGGCAGTGACATCTTGGTCTCATCCTGTCCTTAATGCCTGGGAAAAGAATGTGAAATGCAGTTTGTGTGTGTGTGTGTGCTGAGTCACTAGGTCGTATCCAACTCTTTGTGACCCCATGAACTGTAGCCTGCCAGGCTCCTCTGTCCATGGGATTTTCCCAGCAAGAACACAGGAGTGGGTTGCTATTTCCTTCTCCAGAGGATCTTCCTGAACAAGGGATTGAACTTGCATCTGCTGCATTGGCAGGCGGATGCTTTAACACTGATTCACCTGGGAATCGAAGTGCAGTTTTTACTGATTAATAATTCAGAACCAGGTCCAGCTATAACAGATTTCATTTAACTCTAAGGATGATCACTATATTTTTCAAATTAAAAATAAATCAGAACTTTTGCTCTAATAATGTGAGGAGACCTATGGGACCAATAACATAGAATATTTGGGATGGAGGCTATCTTGGTAAAGTTTATTGTTATCCTTTCTGGACCCGAATCTCCTTTCCCATCCCTCCCACAATAGGGATTCTCCACCATATTTCAAGAGGAATGTGCATGCGTGTGTGTGTTTTCTAAGGAATATTCTCTGGGGCCAAACTGCCAGGACAAGAAGGAAAAGCTTTGAAGGAGAGCAATGAGAACAAGCAGAGAGACATAAGGAACTGCTGAAAATTATTTCTAAAAAATTATGCATATGTAGTCACATCACTTCTTATCAAGCTTTCAGAGACTTTACTGGGAGGGTTGGGAGTTTGGGAATATGTTCATAAGTTCACGTTTACTTCTGAGCATAGAAAGAGCCAGGAAAACTCGAGATTCCCTCTCCACCCCCACTTTTAGCTGTGAATAGCTGATAAGTGGAAAAAAAGAGATTACATGAATAAATTCAGTATTTCCAATCATCAGGCCCACATCCCTAACTGCATTGTTGCTTTTAGTCTGTTCTGCTTCCTGCAAGATGAAAACAATGTCTACAGATGCAACTTGCTTCAACTGCTTTCACTTTGGTTCCTCAGGAGGTATTAACATGAATGTTCTCCCTACCCCCCCCCCCGCTTTTTTTTTTTGCTAGTTGGACATTTAATCTTAACTATTATATAAAGAGAAGCAAAAGAGAGTTTAAAAATCTTTTTGAGAGTTAGGAAGAGCATTTTACAAGTCTTCTTTATGGAATTCACTGAGTTCATTTGGTTTGAATATGCAAAATCAGAGATAGGTGAAAGAAGTGAATTCTGGGTTTGAGGATGGAGACAAAAGTATGGGATACTGTAATAATCACTGCATTGCATAGAGTCCTTGTATGTGTTGATTCCTTTCCATATACTGTCTCATTTAATCTTGGCAATCCTAGGACACCAAGACTTTGGTTAACCCCATTTTATAGATCATAAAACTAAGGCACATTAGGTAACCAGCCCAAAGTCACTGGGTTGGTGGGTGGTGCAGGCAGAACTGGAACCCAGGTCTTTTTTGAATCCACAGCTCATAATCACTCTTAACCTGTATACTGCATCACTTCAGGAGAGACCTTCTGCTGCATAGGTCTGCATAAACACCAGTGGGAGAAATCTGTGTGTTTCTCGTTTAGCTTTTTCAAACGAAGAATGGTGCATTTAAAAAAATACTTATCTACAGAGCTCCAGGATCTCTAAATAGCCGTAAAGAAGAGATCTGAAACCATCCCAAATAGAAATCATTATTTGGCTACTTTTTGTACACTAGGAAGAGGCTAGAGCATTGTGTATGTTAGAAGCAAGCTTCCTACTTCCCTATGTACATGAAGTCCAGATCTGATTGCTGCTGTGAGCCACTTTGATACTTAAGGGACAAGCGCTATTGAATATATTTCAGGAAAGCTGGCATAAATGAGTAACTCTTGAAGGTTTTTCCTTTTCACATTTCCACTATGATCAACTATGTTTTAAAAAGACTAAATTAGTCCTGAAAAAGGGATTCAGAGCTAAGAGACACATGCTGGGGTTTCAGTTGTAACTGCTGCTGCTGCTGCTAAGTCGCTTCAGTCGTGTCTGACTCTGTGCGACCCCATAGACAGCAGCCCACCTGGCTCCCCCGTCCCTGGATTCTCCAGGAGAGAACACTGGAGTGGGTTGCCGTTTCCTTCTCTAATGCGTGAAAGTGAAAAGTGAAAGTGAAGTCGCTCAGTCGTGTCCGACTCTTAGCGACCCCATGGACTGCAGCCTACCAGGCTCCTCTGTCCATGGGATTTTCCAGGCAAGAGCACTGGAGTGGGGTGCCATTGCCTTCTCCGACTAGGCGCTGTTAAACGAAACAGCAATAATCTCTCAAAGAACCGAAATAAGGCAAACTGGTAGCTCCACCTTATCAAAAGGGCTTTCTGATATAAGCAGTGAACTTAAAGATACATCCAGGGGTTCAAGGGAAAACACTTATAATAAACACTTTGGAATTCCAAAGAAAAAGAAGCTTCCATTGAAAAAATAAATTTCTAAGTTTGAAAATAAAAAGACACACTGTGTCCTACTGAGGAAAAGCCCACTGAAAATGAACCAGGTTTTCAAAGGGCAGTGATAACAAGTGTTAACTTACCCCTCTTCTCCTAACCTTGCAGGACCTGCCCAATACAGGTAACTTGAAACCCTGTAGCATCTCTCAAGCTATACTGCCCCCCTCATTTCTATTCTTAATCTACCAGCTTCCTTTTCTACTCTTATTTTATTCTTTTTTTTGGTGGTGGTGGGGGGGGCATGAGTTGGGGAAGGCTGCACTGGGTCTTGTTTGAGGCACGTAGGATCTTGTCCCCTGACCAGGGAGGGAACCTGGGAACCTCTACCACTGGCAGCATGGAGTCTTAACTGGACCACCAGGCAAGTCTCTCTGGTCTTATTTTTGTTCCTTTTCCCTTGCTGATTATCCCTTCTCTATCTACATTTTTCTCTCATCTCTGCTTTTCCCTTCATCTTTCCCTCTTTCTCCCTTGCCTGTGATATGGTCTTAAAGTGAGCATATGTGTGCATTTGCTTATTATAGGTCACCTTTTGGAATATTTTACATTTCTGCTTTTAATTATAAGTAACTTATTGTTTCATGTCTCTTTTTAAAAATAACTACCATTGCTTTTAATCTGTGCAATTCTTAGATTTCCCCTATGGATTAATAGCTTTAACTGGGGAAAAAAAAATAGACACTAGTTTCTCTCTTTCCTTGATAGATTTGATTTGACACAACAAAAGTGTGAATACTTTAATGAAAGAGCTGGAGAGAATCCCTTTGCTCTATGGTTACATCTTAAAGACTTTCTATGTGGGATCTGCTTTGCTAACTGATGGATTTCCTCATGAGTCTGCTGTCTCCAGGAATCATCTACAACTGCAACTCACAATCCTGCAGCCCGGGTCCTCCTGGGTCTTTTTTTGCCCACAAAGTTGCTGTTGGAAAGAGGTCTTTTTATACAGACTTGTGCTTAGTCATTTTGGTAGGCTCTCTGCTTCAGAAGTGGTAACCAGTAGAGATTTGCAGTGCCTTTTCATTGACGCTTACCTGCACAATGTTAGCATATTCATAGCTTAGACAAGGCTTTCACAACATCAGGACTGAGGCTTTGGAAAGTGCACTTAAGCTGTTGGTTGCTGTCAATACACGAGGCTGATGGTGCAGTGTATTCCGGGAATCCTCAAATCTGGGAAATCAGGCTGTCCTCTGAGAGTCAAACTAACAAAACTGCACCATGGTGGCCATGATTAGCCTACCAAGAGGTGAGCTAGAATAGCCACAGCTTTCTATGCCCTGGGACCTGGATGTCATCACATGCAAGCCAGGCAGGGACTGGATTGTCTCTTAGAAACCAAGAGCCTCAAGAGCTGAGATGTTCTGAGTTTGGGTGAAGGTTAAGCAAATCTGTGGACTATGAAATACAGGGAAGGAAAACCCCAATGTCCAAGCATAGTGACGCCCACCTGGAAGCTGCCCAGGGCATGGGCCCACAGGTTCAGCTCTCTTGCCCCTTTGACAGGCATGACCTGATGCAGGGCAGCCAACTCTCCCCCTTTAGCTCCTTCCATGCTCTCCAAGCAGTCCTCCACATATGACCTATTTTCTGCCCCAGCTCACCCATAGGGAGACCTAGGTTTTGATCTACCCAAAGCAACAACCCAAGCTATTGAACTGCGAGATAGCACTTTGATAGAAAGGCAATGGTTAGGACACTGGCTCCTAGGTTCAAACTCTGACCTCCTAATGAGTGGTCTGATGCTGAGTCAGCTATTTAAACTTTTCATGGCTCAGGCTTCTCATCTGTAAAACAGGGATGATGTAATTCACCTAGGATTATTGTGTTGATGACATGATTAAGGCATGTGAAGTACTTAGAACGGTGCCTGGCATACAACAAGCACAAATAAATTAGTTATTATTATTTTCCTAGAGGACATTTACCAACTTTTCTTTTTCTTTGTAGCTTATGATTTGCTAGAAATAGAATGATTTCTTCTCAAACCGTGATAGACTGATTTCTTCTCAAACCATGAATTACTCTAAAGGTAAATAAAAAGTCTGCACAAATTAATAGAAAAGAGAGCATGAAGATGTACAATTTCAGCTCATTTGTCACTTTTATTTAGTTCTTTAATGACTTCTAACACATTTAGATGTTTAAAAATCTTAATTTTTCATGGTAGATTAATAAATAAGCCCTGGGACGTTGATAACAATAGCTAACATACACACATATATAATAAATAAGTGCATGTATGGGTATATATATATATGTATGAACATATATATGTGTATGTACATGTATATATACACACACATACATATATGTATATTTACTGTGTACTAGGAGGCAGGGTCATGGAGAACTGAAGGTAACCACTGACTACGTGCGTGCCTGTGTGTAAGTCACTTCAGTCGTGTCTGATTCTTTGCGACCCTATGGACTGTAGCCTGCCAGGCTTCTCTGTCCATGGGATTCTTCAGGCAAGAATACTGGAACGGGTTGCCATGCCCTCCTTCCTGACCCAGAGATTGAACCCAGGTTTCCTGCACCGGCAGGCAGATTAGACTAGGAAGGGCAGAGGCAAGATTTAAACCCCGGCTCGATCTGAATCCAGGCCTCTGCTCCAGCTTCCCCAACCTACTTGGTCCCCATAAGCTTTGTTAGAACACCTCCAACCAAAGGAGAGGGGGTTGACAAGGCTGCACATCCAAGGACCAGATCCCTAGAAGAGGTAAGGATCACAAAATCAAAGCCCCCTCGGCATTCCTGTTCCCTAGAGAAAATCTGCTTATCCTGCCTGGGCGCCCCACAACTTCCTGCTGGTGATTATTCCAGAAAACCATTACAGACTTTTTAGAGGTACACAATTGTGTGTTCCTTAATTAAGTCCTGTGAATTATTCCAAGGAATCTCTTCAGAATAATCACTGTTTCACAAAAATAACGAGACGATGACACCAATATAAGGTATATTATCTCCTACCCAGGGAATCAAGCTGAGTAATTAGAGTTTAAGGCAGATCCAATTATCCACAGCACACAGCCAGATGAAAAATTGGAACTACGTGAGGAAGCAGAACCTGGAGGAACTCAGAAAACCGCACTGCCTTAATTCCTGCGGCCGAATGCTGAGACTGATTGAGCCACCTTCCATTTATCTGGTCCTCTCCAGTCCACACATCCAGACCTCCTTACCTTGTTCACAAAGTTTCTTGGTCAGGGAGCCTTCATCTTGAAAATAAATGATGCGTTTCTGTACGATGCTAGCCCTGCGGGGAAAGAAGACGCAAGCACACGGTGAGGAGGGTAAGACTGGGGGACATCAGATTTCTGCTGGCCCACCCACAGCTGTGTGGCTTTGGGGGAGTGCGATCAACTCTATGTGGCTTGGTTTGTTCAGTGGAAAACTGGTATTAATACTAATAGCTACCTCCTAGGATTGCTATGAGAACTAAGGTAAGAACTCTTATGTCAAGAGTTCAGCACACACTTAGAAACCACTCAATAAATATTAGTTACTGTGGTGATGTTGGTGGTACTCACATTATTGTTAAGGTAGGACAGTGAACTAACAGCATTTTCAGTAACTTTTCTCAATGGTTCATTTACTCTAGTTTTATATCAAACTACGGAGGCCATTTATAGATCAACCAAATTCAAATCAGGGAAGCATGTCAACTTCTCTTCCTGAAGGGGGAAAAAAACCTTAAAAATATATTTTGATTTGTTCTGAAAATGTCATTCTATATCTTTCCTGAAAGTCTAGACGAAACTGTCTCTTACATTCTGAACAAAGACAACTGCAGCTGTGACATCTCTCTTAAACATGTCAAACTCAAACACAGTATCTTAGAATTTGGAAAGATATTCTGAGGTTGAAAAATGACTTGATTTGGCCAGCATATATTTTCTCTTTAATCTAGGATTGCACAGACATACGATGTCTCCTTTTACCCACTCAACTGTTGATTTTCAGCTGCCCTTGGAAGAGGCCTGAAACCCAGTGTTCCAGCAATCTGAAAAGTCTACAGCACAACATTGAGACGGTGCCAGTGGATCTCAGGCCATTTCTATTGATTTTCTTCAGCCATGCTACTCAATCAAAAGGTAATTTTCACTTTGATTTGCCCTATTTAACAGATAAAGGGAGCTCTTGACTCCATCACAGCTGACCACACTGAACCAAGGAAAGTCACACAAGCTGCCTCATGTCACATGATTTCAAACCCAGGAAGAGCCCAAGTATGCATGGATCTGCTGAGCACAGAGGCAGTTTTCTCAATGGTCTGGCCCGATGCCAAATGGCTTTCCAAAGAAATATCTACTCTACCCCCAGTCTTACACAAAAGAATAAAATTGAGGCCAGCCTACTGATGTCTTTTACAGTCCGTCCCACCCCAAGAGAGAAGAGATGTTGAAATAAATGAATGAAATATACTTCCTGTTGACACAAAGCTACTGTGAATATTTATCCATTCTGTTGACCATCAAGCAGAAAGTTTCTTCAGGCCAAGAGAACACTCTGGAGAACATTCACCCCAAAGTCAAATTTTAAAAAAGCCTTCTGCTAGCTGGAGCATCCTACCACAGTGAGAATGCCTCAGGGAGCCCTGTGGAGGGCAAGGAGTAGGCCTAGTGGGAAATATCCCAGGCTCCACATTCTTGCTGCAACCATTTCAACTCAACCAACCTCATTTCAACCCAAAGCTGCCTCCTCTCCCATTTGTCTTCCTGTTGTATTTGCTGGCGTATTTTCAATAGTTAGAATTTGGAAAGAATATTTTGAGGTTGAAAAATGACTCGCTTTTGGCCAGCATATAGCAGACAGTTTCTGGAGGTGTGCTTAGCGAGCAGGCATTGAACAGGGACACTGTCATAAACAAGACATATGGGGCCACTTCCCATTCTCAGAGTTGGCAGAATAGTGGGGAGAAGGTATCAAACAAACAAATCCTCAGGTAATGAATGGAGATGTCCACAGGGTATGAGAGAGTGTAACACGGGATCCTGACCAAGCCAGGAAAGGCTCCTCCCAGAAAAGGTGGCTGCACTTAGACTTCAATGAGTAGAAGCTAATTAGCCAAGTGGGATGGAGGAGCAAAGATGAGGGCATCCTGTGTAAGATCCTTGATGTGGGGAGGGCTGTGGCTCATTGGTGAGCCAGGGAGGTGTGAGATGAGCTGGGAAGGTGGGCAGGGCCAAATCACCCAGAGCCGTGCAGGGAGATGGCATTTTACTCCAAGCTTGATGAGACGTCTTTGAGGAATGTGCCCTGAGGAGTGAGATGATCCGGTTTGCTCTTTTAAAAGAGCATTTGGACCAAAAAGTAAAAACGGATTTGTGTGGGGTTGCAGTATACAGAGCTCTCATGCAAATAAAATTTTGTTTCAATAAAATTCTCTTGATAAAATGATTTGAAGACACCTGATCTACAGGATAAAATATTAACCTACCATGGTATTCAAGGTTTTTCATAAAAATCTTCCCCCAAACACCTCCTAGTTTTATCTGTTGGCATTTTGTGCCATGCTCCCTGGGTGCCAGACTGTGAGAAGTTTATCCTTCCTTCTTTGAACATTTCTTCCACTCCACACTCCCTTAACTGTGCTGTTTCTTTTCCCAGAATCTCCCATCACCTGTCTTTGTGAGAGTCTGTAACAGACACTCTGAGTTGTCTTCCTCCCTATGATTTAAAGGTGGGGCTTCCCTGGTGGCTCAGTGGTACAGAATCCACCTGCAATGCAGGAGACACAGGTTCGATGCCTTAGTCAGGAAGAACCCCTGGAGACAGAAATGGCAATCCATTCCAGTGTTTTTGCCTGGGAAATCCCATGGACAGAGGAGCCTGGCAGGCTACAGACCATGGGATCACAAAAGAGTTGGACATGACTGAGGAACAAGAACATGATTTAATGTCAGAAAAAATGATGCTTAGAAAAATTACATCACTCGCAGATTTCCCAAAACTATCATTATAAACAGTTCAAGAGCCAGAGATAGAAAAATATATTTTCTTTAAGATATTTGTTTCTTACAAGCCTTGTTTTATGAAGTCAAGGTGGCCCTCTTTTTGATAATAGCTGTAACTTCTGAGCCCTTGATGTGTGCCACTCATTGTGCTAGGGAGGTCCTTCATGTGCATTGTCTTATGATCTTATCCTTTACATACACTACAGGTCCTCAAATTCTTTATGAAGACACTTGGGCTAGATGTGTTCCTGGGTTCAGAGTTTTTCAGATATTAGAAAGTGAAGATGGCAATAGGCCATTAACAACCCCATGACCAAACACATCCACCTTCTGCAGCAAAATATTTGAATACTCATTCTAAGAGAGTAAATAAAATCTATAAACAGCTTCGTATCAGTTTAGGTCAAGTTCAGCAAACTTATCAAAACGCTCTTATTTTCAGAGGGATTAAGATGAGGGTTTGTATTACTTTTATCCTAATCTTATGGGTGAGGATGACTGAGATACAGGGAGGTTAAGTAACATGCTCAGGGTTTTGAAGTCTTTCATCTACTGCCAAAGCCCATGGTCTGTCTGAGACTCAGAGTGCTTGTAAGGATTAAAGATGATTACAAATAAAGAGTATAACTGCACTGTGAGGAAAGTACTCTTATAAAACGTAACCTCAGATTGATTTTGGGGGGATGTATTTTAGGATCTCGTGGTGCACACAGTGGAGATCTGAGACTTCAGTGGGTCTCCATGGAGCCTGGGCCATGATAACATGAAGCTCTCCATAAAAATGCAAGCATACATCCCCATTCCCAAACTAAGCCAACCCTCTGGACCATGCACTTTGGATTTCAAATTCTGTGCAGATCCAATGAGGGATACAAGCCTTGTTCTGATCAGGCCCTGGTGGTCTAGCCTTACCTCTGTCTAGTGCCTCCTGAGCACCCTGCCCAAACCATATCCCAAATCTGTCTTCATGATCTCACATTCTGGGCCCCTGTCCATGAGACTCCTCTGTCCTTCCTCGCGATTCTTCAATATAAACCGCACACACACACACACACACACACACCCCTCAATTACCTAACATACTCAACCAAGATGTTACCTAGAATGATGTCTTGACTGCAAACTCTTCCTATGAGAGCCACAACCCCTTGGGCTAATCCTACCCCAGCACTTACTGACCTACTATAATTGCCTGTTCACTCTTCTATCTCCTGTGCTATTAGAAGCTTCCCAGGAGCAGGAACTGTATCTTATCTCTATAGATGCTAGTACTGTTGCAACCCTGGGATTCAAATAGAAGGAATGACATTTGGAAATGAAAGAGCTTGAGGTTGAACTGTCTGGAGGGCATGATGAAGGTCTCAGTGGGTAGACACAGGGACCTGTAACTCAGGAAAGATATGAGGAGGGTGAGGAGGATGGATATGGCAATCACTGGGGCAGAAGTCAGGGTCAAAGCTTCTAGAGTGGCTGACATCACCCAGGAAGAAAGTGTGGGGAGTGAGAAGAGAGTCTAGCTGAGTTCAGAACTCTAAAGGCCAACATTTACCCACAGATAGGCCAGCAGAGACCAAGACATTGAAAAACTTGGTTGCAGGAGATGTTTCTTTTTATTCCTCGTTTGGTCAACTCCTGGGAGAATTTTATATTCTGAGAAAATACATTTCATTTCAAGCCTGTTCCCATCAGAAGTATAAAACTCAGCAGAGATTTATAAATCATATTACAGTTCAGAAAAATAATAGCTTCACAAGATGAGAATGCCGTTGGTAAGAATTCCCTTAGCATTTCAAAATGACAAATTTCTCCCATTCTGTGTTGCAATTTGGCAGTCCTGTTGCATAGCATTTATATGCCGATATACTGAATGCTCTCTTATCATGAAAGAGCGTGTTAAGGAAATCTAAATTAAATTTCTCAGTATGTTAGCTTCTCAAACTTTAAAATATTGAGGTTCTAAATAACTTACTAATCACTTCCAAAGTTTTCCTTTAAACCTAACGTGGAACCTTTCCAGAAACACCATCCTGAATGCTCGGTGCTTGGTTCTTTTTCTGTCTGAAGAGTTTCTTCATTTGCTGTTGGGGAACTGGCCTGCTGGAGTGAAGTTGGAGTTGGCTAAGTCGGAGGTTTGCTGCCTAGTACTGAAAAGGCCCGGGGTCCCTGTTCTCACTGAAAAGGACAGGGAGACCTCGAAAACTGAAGGATGTGGGCGAGTTCGGGCCATGAAATGAATGAAAAATACACATGGACCCTCAGTGGCTGGATCACTGCATTGTAGGTATAATTTATGTAAGGT